GTTGGAGGCCATTGCTATTAGGTTGCAGGCCATCGCTATTAGGTTGGAGGCCATTGCTATTAGGTTAGAGGCCATTGCTACTTGGTTGGAGGCCATGGCTATTAGGTTAGAGGCCGGCCATTGCTATTAGGTTGATGCCGTTGCTATTAGGTTGGAGGCCATTGTTACTTGGTTGGAGGCCATCGCTATTGGGTTGGGAGCCATTGCTATTAGGTTGGAGGCCATCGCTATCAGGTTGGAGGCCATTGCTATTAGGTTGGAGGCCATCATTATTAGGTATCTAGGTTGGAGGCCATTGCTATTAGGTTGGAGGCTATCGCTAGTAGGTTGGAGGCCATGGCTATTAGGTTGGAGGCAATCGCTATTAGGGTATCGGTATTAGGTTGGAGGCCATTGCTATTATGTTGGAGGTCATCGCTGTTAAGTTGGAGGCAATCGTAGTAGGTTGGGGGCCATCGCTGTTAGGTTGGAGGCCATTGCTACTGGGTTGGAGGCCATTGCTATTAGGTTGGAGGCCATCGCTCTTAGGTTGGAGGCCATCGCTATTAGGTTGAAAGCCATCGCTGTGAGGCCGGAGGCCATTGCTATTAGGTTGGAGGCCATCGCTATTAGGTTGGAGGCCATTGCTATTAGGTTGATTTGCATCCGTTTGATTTGATCGTTCTGCAAAGTTGTTAGTCACATTCCGGCTCAAAAGCCAATACCTTTGTGCGTTAAGGTATTACTGGCTCCTACTGCAAACGGGCTCCGAGACCCTGCGAGATCGTAGCCTGGCATGCGAAGCGAGCTTGTCCAAAAGGAGACTGTTGAATTTGAGTTCACGCCAACGGGCCAACAATCTGTGGATCTCATGCATTTTCTTTCTGTTGTGTGCTCTCTGAAGCATGTTATGTTTGCAGAGCATAGATGATCAGATGAGGACTACATGATGTTTGTTTTGCTGACAGGTATCTATTCAGGGAAGAGAATATTCTACTTTGTGAGTTGGCAGCAAGAAGACTTCATTGGTGCAACGAACATACTGCCACGTTAAGTTTCCCCAAAAATCTAGGAACCAAATCATTAGTGTGTGTGAGCTATCCTATGTCCAGTTACTAGAAACTTAAGTAGCTGGGAGCGAACTTATTCCTTAATTAAGGAAGCGCCTGCTTAATTAAGTAGGAACGGGTCAAAAAAAACTTTGTGAGTTGGCAGCAAGAAGACCTGATGGGTGCATTCATGTAAGCTCGTGCGGCACTCTGCATTTGTTGGAGTTAAGCTTTTCATCGAACGAGCTTCAGACATACTTCTTTGAGGCCTCCCAGACGCCCTGATGAACAGGACCTGATACTGGCAACAGTAAAGTCATTTTGTTCGGATGGCTTATGTGTCTAGCCAGACACACTAGTGGCAGGCATTGATTTGGTGCTGTTTGAGTGCTGGGGCACCGCTGATCAGGAGCGAGAGCGCCTCAAGAATTGTGTTGTGGCCATACCTGACGGTTGGGAGGTGCTTTCTACCAGTGACGCTTGGTGGACGCTCTGAACTCCGAATTCCAGTGATTAGTGAAGCAACAGTCACTAAGTCACTAAGTGTTCCTTTACTAGTAGTGATGCCCTTGTTACTAGTAGCTTCTTGCTAGTATTGAAGCAACAGTCACGAAGTCACTAAGTGTTCAGCACTGGCTCAGAGGGACTTCGACTTAACTTCGACGATGGAAATTGCCGGAAGCACCTGTAGCCTGTAGCATCCTGTAGCGAACCTTGAGGCCAATGATTTCAGCGCGACAATTGACGAAGTGAAGCTTGGCAGAACAATGTCCGTGCCACTCATAGTTGATGCGCTGGTCTTGGGCTTTGGTCTAAAGTTTAAAGTCTGAGTCATGGGTGTCTCAACTCGATCTACTAGGAGCAAAGGACGCTACTAGGGCCACCAGGGGCTCCTGGCCTTACTACTAGGAGCAAGAAGCTATTAGGGGCTCCTGGCCTTACTACTTGGAGCAAAGGACGCTACTAGGGATCAAGCATTGGCAAAACTGACTTGATGTTCTTTCATGTCGCCAGGAGCCGACACAACTGGGGGAATCCACTGATCGCTGTCCAGTGCCAAACTGAACCGCGCCTTTTCGCAACGTATCGCACTCTCCTCTCCAACAGCGGCAAATGTGGTACAAGGTGGGTGAGATTGCTGAGCTTTCTATTGTCTAAATTGGTCTAAACAGGAAAGGGTTTGCTTGTTGAAGTCTCAAGCCATGCAAAAGCGTAGGCGCTGCCTAGCTCTTTCTTTGCAGGTATCGGACTGAAAGCCGCCACGTGGTGAGCTTGCCAGTGAAAGAGCTGCCCACTGGGGCTGAGAAGGACGATCTCTTAAGTGGACTTGGAGAACATGTTTTTTTGAACCATCTAAAACTGTCGCAGGAACTCTCTCATCTACGCTTTTGTCACGACTTCGGTCGATTGGCACCTCGGCCGCCTTGGTCCATTGGTCCCTGAGATCCACGGTTCGACTATGACGAGTCCCGATTCCAACCGTTCTCAGCTTGCTCGATTCTTAGGTGATACGGAAGAAATCGAACCGAGTCATGGCCACAGAGTGAACAGGGGCAGCCGACCCGCCTTTGGCCCAAAGTGGCACACGTTTTGTATGTACTGCGGGCGTTTTGGTGCTATTTTGAGCAGCCAATACAGAGAAGACTGTACTATTGATCCTTTGTCCACTCTTTGTCTTGACCAATGTATATAGAATGTAACATCAGATTTGCTTAATTCTCGCACCAGCATGCCTCGTTTTGAAGCTTTGGCGTCCAAAAGGAGGGGCCTTAACAATAGTGACCGGACTGTTTCTGATGTTTGCTGTTCATGAGTTTGCTTCAACAGGCCTGGAACGGGAATCAGCAACCTCCTTTGTGATGGCAAAGCACGTTTTTGTGGCACCTGTAGGACATTGGGTGGCCAGCTCAGGGTTTTGCAGCAAAGCTGATGGTCAAGACAGAGCATTTGTGATAGTTGCATGAGTCATACTTGAGATGGAGAACGAGCTGTTCATGTCTTTAAACCGGCACCAGAGAACATGCGGGTTTGACGCCTTGACCATAACCTTTTAAAGTCACACTAAAGGAGGGCCAGGAACACAGATTTTGTCAGTGCGGCGAGGTGCCCACGTCCGACCAGTTACTTTGTTTAAACATGCTTAACCTGAGTTTAGACTAATCAATAATCAGAAACAGGACTCCAACTCATTGTAAGTCTACTAGTAGCAAGGACGCTATTAGGTGGAGGCCATCGCAAGTAGGTTGGAGGCCATCGCTACTAGGAGCAAGAAGCTACTAGTAGCTGATAAGTTGTTTCATTCATGGTGTTTCCACTTTCGACATCTTGCGACATGGGCATCACCTGCACGGTCCTCCCCGTTTGGCGCCGCATATCCCTGCTGAGACCAGATCGGTCGCAACATGTCAACATGCAACATGTCTCCGCTCTATAGAGTGCTGGCAGGGTGAGAAACAATCCGAGGATCTCACGTCGCATGCAACTTCAGAAGGCATGTGTTTCTCACATTGTCACCCCGCGCGGCTCAACATGTTCTTCACGACACGATAGTGATGAAAACTACAGATTGGTGAGTTTGGAACCGATCAAGATCATCAAGTCCTGCCAGGGAGCCTTGAGACTCCAAATGAGAAGCTTGGAGTCTCCCACTTTGTGAGGCAGTGAAGAAGTTTATGTTATATATTATATAATTATATATATTATAATAAACTTGATACTTGGTGTGAGCTTTGCTTTTGTTCGAAGTGCAAGATGTGGATGCAGGCAGCAACCGAGCTTTGACACTTCGTAGCATTGCCATAATCCCTGCAGGCACCAAGATGACAGTCGTTGGACAGAGGCAATCTTCGTCCTTTGCTGTTTGTTGACACATGTGTGGGATAGATAGCTGGTGCTGCAAACTGGATCGTTTCTTAGTATTAATTTGATTGGAACATGCGTTTACCCCATCTACACTCTACCCCGCTAGAACCTGGAGCTGGGATGGCTGTAATGTTTTGACACTGCCATGTCAGTACAAGTCAAACCACCCTGTTTGCTGGATGGGAAAGGATGCCAACCGCTTTCACATGTTTTCATCAGTTTCTTTGCACAAAACCAGCCTTCGAACCGCTTGTCAAACCCAGCTGTTGAGCTCTTCTTTTTTATCCCACACACAGCAAGACCTTCACGATTTTTCACTCCAAAGCAGAGATGGTTTCACTGTTCCTGTTGACTTCATTTAGAGGACGCTACTAGGAACAAAGGGCATCGCTACTAGGAGCAAGGACGCTGCTAAGGACGCTGCTAGGAGCAATGGTGCACAGCCTCTGTGAGGCCAGACAACGCCCGGCCGCGCCAGGGCTCCCGCTGCGGCGGAAGCTCCGGGCTTGGCTGAGCCGGCGAGGACACTGAGGGTGGCAGGGTCTATTCCGAAACACTTTGCCATATGTTTGCATGGCCTTTTGTTGCATGACTCAATGAATTGGTTTAAGGATGTTTAAGGGAACATCTACAGACTATGGATTTCCTGTAGATTTTCCCTGCAAACCAATTCTAGGAATGACAAACTAAGACTTTTCACCCCGAGTTCTGAAATGGCAGGACGCCGTCATTCTGAGAGTCTGGTTTGGGCAAAGAGCTGAGACTTTTGAGGCGGGCACTGCATTTGCAGTTTGCCAAGACTACCTTGCACAGGCCACCCTCCACCTTTGGGCACAAAGCGCCAAAGCAAAGCGCAAGGGCCAAAGAATGGAAAAGATCTATTTTGCCAATGTGCAGTTCAGTTGCACCTTTGACAACACGCAAGCCAAATGAAGCTACTGTAGCGAATACAGGGTGGTAGAGGACGTCGCTTATTCATCGGAATGTCTTCGGAGGCACTGAGAAGGCAGTCCACCGGCAGTCCCCCTGTCACATTGTCAGGGCAAGGACGCTATGAGGGGCTCCTGGCATAGCTACTAGGAGCAAGAAGCTATTAGGGCATTGCTACTAGGATTCTGGGGCTCCTGGCCTTACTACTAGGAGCAAGAAGCTACTAGGTTGGATGCCAGATGGTCGGTGTTGAATCCGTTGCCACAGTTCACCCGAGGCCTCCTCTCGGCCCGCCGCAAAGCAGCAGAATTAAAGCAAAGCCAGCATGCCCAGAGCATCGAGAGAGACAGAGAGAGAGAGAGAGAGAGAGAAAGAGAGAAAGAGAGCGCGTCAAGCTATTTGTCGATACTTTTTGCCCTATAATTCTTTGTGCAGATTTGGGCTTTGGGATCTTCGCGCATAACTTAAGCACGAAGATACGGGCCGCGAAGCTCGGTCAGGTCTGCGAGCATCTGAAGTAATGCAGGCTGGCTGAAGGTGATGTCAGTATTTTTGTGGATAGGGTCTTTGCAGACCTTTTGTTAGATTCGGTGGAGGGCTACTGGTGAATGAATCAAACACTGATATTGGATGAATGTTCAGGTAAAGAGAGACAGGAAATTTAAGCAACCCGCCATCCGGTCCTGTTCGTCGGAGGCCATTCAAAAACTCAAACTCTAAGGAGGTGGCGCACAATCATGTTCATCCTAAAAAGTGGGCACTGCAGAAGCAAGTGATCAATGCCAAGCTGACAAGAATCTTGTTGGTAAGACGGGTAGAAAAGCAGGAGTGATTTGACGTGGAAAACGAAGAGATACCACTGTTTGAACGGCACTGAACGGATGAAATCAAACCATAAATAATGCACACCAGATATACGCCATGGAGGAAAGTTATGATCCCCGTAGGCCCATAGGTACTTTGATGGTGGGCACCACTTGGAGAGTAGACTGAGGCATTCTGTGAAACGATGCAGGTCTCAACCACATTGCAAATCCGCTGCTTGCCCGGCACCCGGAATACCCTCCAGCTTTTGACTGCACTTGCACTCAGGAAAGCTCTTGCCAGGTCAATCCATTTCAGGGATGTGGATGGACACGAACACGGGAACCTACATAGGTCCCATGTCCTCCGGTGGAAGAGCTATGTTCAGATACTGTCCATCCACAGACCCACAGATGATGTTCTTTGTCAAGTTTTGTCAAGTTTTGTCAAGTTTTGCAAGGCTGGCGTGGAGGGCACTTGTCCAAGTCAATTCCCAACAGGACCTCCTTAGGGTACATGAGGTACGTGCTGTTCATCGGCGGATCGGGCATGAGACACACATGTTTGCCCATGCTCTCCGCTCTCTTCCTGCTTCATGCAGGACAAACAGTCCTTTCTTGCTGCAGATTTGGAGAGCAAGGAGCGATGCCTACGAGTCCTTGAGGCGCTTTTTGGAGGGATGCAAACCATTTGTGTGGTCAGAGCGTCTATGTTATCGGCTGAAAAACGTTGTTAGAAGGGTCATGACAAAGTGATCCAACATTTTTTGTGAACGAAAGTGTGATGACAGGTTTGGACAATCGGACTCGAGGCTCTGTCCGACTTTGTCCCTCCGGGAGACGACTGTGATTGTGAGTGACTTCCCTGTCGGAAGTCCTGAATCTCCTTTGTACGGGAACATGGACTAAGATCCCATTGAGCAGGTGTATACTTATTGAAGACTTACCATGAGAGACATATCTGAGCTTGTTGACGTTGCTAGTGCTTTGAAGAATAAAGCTGAAGGCGTCATTGTTGAGGGCTTTTTATCGCGCTTGGGCTTCGTCGTGAAGGGCTCGGAGCGTGGTTCTTCTCCTTCTTCTTTCCCAGTGAACCACCTGATTGCTCACACAAAGGCTGGAGGAGCCAACTGCGAAGGCGGAAAAACACCGAGAAACCAAACCAGAGTCCTCAAGAAAGCTAACCTCGGTTGACAGGCACTGCAATTGGTTTCCAGCCAGCTGCAGACTGCAGGTACGCTGCAGACTGCACGTAGAAATAGCTAGTTGAAACACCTTGAACCGTGCTAGCTGCTAGCTGCTAGCTTTTTGCCGCTCTGGACATGAGATGAGCACGCACAATGTCCTGGAAAAGCAGGTTTGCATTGATGTCCAACTAGTTTTTCTATCACTTGTTGTGCAGTACGAGACAACTCAGCAGTCCAAATAGTTTTGTATGAAGTGGCAGATAGCTGTAGGAAAAGGTTTGAAGCTGCTAGCTGCTTGGTGCGAAGAGAGGCGACATAGAAGAGGTCCTAATGTTGTCTGAGTAGGTCTTGACATGATAGGCTCAGGCCGCCTAGGACATCCCTTTGTCGAACACAAAAAAGCGGTTACCAGTGCACACACCGTTATGAATTAAAACCAAGCAGCCCGGCAAGTACTGTACTTTCTTTGGCGCGTCAGAACACTGTCAGAGTGGTTGCAAGCCCTCGCGCATGCAACGAGCAAGCAAAAGGGGCATCCCGGATAAAGTCAAGTTCCGCAACTGCGCAGGATTCCGCAACTGGGATTCCGCAACTGTTTGGTCGGATTCCGCAACTGGGATTCCGCAACTAGGATGAGGAAACTAGGATTCCGCAACTACAAGTAGGATTCCGAAACTAGGATTCCGCAACTGTCAAGATTCCGCAACTAGGATTCTGCAACTGGGATTCCGCAACTGGCGTTCCGCAACTAGGATTCCGCAACATTGTGGGCTCCCTCACTAGGATTCGCATTTTTGTGAAGAGGGGGTTGGCGCGATGTCGAGATCACACGATGGGAACAAGGGGGGGTTGGGGGGTGGGGGGGTTGGGTGGGGGGCTAATGACGTTGGTTTGGATGTGCTTCGAAGGTGATGTCACAGGCACACACACGCTATCGCATGATGTGGAGATCACCAGTTGCAAGTTTCAGAAGGCAAGTTGCAGAATCTGACTTTCCAATTCCAGAATACAAGTTTCAGAATCCAAGTTTCAGAATCCTAGTTTCAGAACCCCAGTTTCAGAATCCTAGTTTCAGAACCCCAGCTTCAGAATACCAGTCTCAGAATCCAAGTTTCAGAACCTTAGTTTCAGAACCCCAGTTTCAGAACCCTAGTTTCAGAATCCGGCCGATTAGTTTCCGAATCCGGCTCTAACCGGGGCACCCCTGTCGAAGTTTTTAGGCATCTCAACTAAAAGCAGCACGCATTTCTCGCTTGCTTCCATGCACTTTTGAATCCTTCCATGCACTGGTGTTTTGCTGATTTACATCCTTTACTCACGCCCTGCCTCAGGTCTTCTACTCGCATGGCAAGTTTGGGTTTGCTGGGCGAGTTTGGTGACAGACACACTGAAGCAATGCGAGCGTTTCTTTGCATTTCAACCCGATTTACTAACTTCCGTTCTAGATTCTAGGTCCGTGTGTTTTTGCTGGTTCCTTTTGCAAGTCTTGGTCGGGGCTCAAGAGCTGGCGAGACCAGAAAAGAGCCCGAAGAAGGAGGTGCCTTGGGCTCGCAAGCTTCACGGCCCAAACCGAACGAGGAAACAAACGGAGCATGTCTGGCGTTCGCAACTTGCATTGGAGTACAGGGTTTGCCCTAAGATGACTAGCTATCCTATTCTGATCACATTCCAGCAGAATTCTTGGGCTTGATGCTTTGACCTTATCAGAAATACTTTCGCCATTCGCAGGAAGCCAGCCATGGGAAAGAAGAAGACAGAACCCGAAGAACCCAAGAGCAATAACGAGGCGCCGGTTCGTGTCCTTGCTTAAGTCAGACGAGAGACTTTCTTGAGAGATCAGCGCCAGAGCAGAATGACATAGCGTTGTTTGGTTTTTGCCGCTTTAGTCTTGAAAGAAGATGTTGTCCTCATAGATCAGCCCCCAACTGGGTGGGTTCTTTGTGCAGAGGAGCCCAAGGCGGAAGAGACCGAAGACAAGGAAGATGACCCTCTGATCAAGGATCTCGCTGTGCACTTTTTGCACTTGAGCTGATTGAGATGTTTTTAATGAACAAAGAGCACCGTACCCCTACGTAGGAGCTGAAAGAGCTTGATGACAAGTATTTGGAAGTTGAGCGGGAGTACGAGAAGGCCGTCCAGGTGCAACTTGGGGCAACACTTGGAATGGGATTCTGGGTCCACAGCGTGCATAGGTGTATGCCACTTGAGCAAGCAGCTTTCCAAACTGACTTGATCTGTCCAGAGATAGGAGCTGCAGAAGCAATTTACTGCGAAGCAGCAGCCGTTCTTGGATCAAAGGACGACCAGAGTTCACGACCCTGCAGATGTCCCACAAAGTCCTGCATGCGTCATACGTCACGTGTGGCCATTTGTAGCTTGAGTGTTATATAGCTTGATTTCAGGAGCAACGTCCTGGCAAATGTGGAAGCAGCACAAGATGAGGAGGAGCGGACCATTGACCATTGCTTATATTTGTCCGAATAACTTGCAACCGCTCTGAGTTCATGCTTGTGCAGCCAGATGTTCATCCGGATGTGCAGGCAAAGAGCAAAGGCACACCTGCCCTCCTGGGCTTCTGGACAAAGGTGGGCTGACCTTCAAGCGCAGACATTGCAGCTGCATGGCGCACGAATATGCTAGGCTCTGAAGAACCTCCCTGCACTGGAAGACCACATAGAGGACGCATGGGAAGACATTCTTTGTCTTGTCATGTGTCCACTTTGTACATGCACCATTTGCTGATTTGCCCGGCCCAGGAATGGGATGAGCCGGTGCTGGAATACTGCAAAGTCCTCAGAGATTGTCATTAGGCATAGGATGCATTTGGAGGTTGTTTATATACATGCTTACATCATTTTCCATCCTACATTATTATATATATATATACACAGAATATGTGTATACACACACGCTATTTTTGCTTGTGAATAGTAAGCAGACAATGTCTTCTCTCTCTCTCTCTATTATATATATAGAGAGATTCTAGCTTGCTAAGCCGAAACCAGTGACTTCAGCAATTTGGTGTGGTGCAGGAAGGGAATTGGCCTGTACTGGTACGGAGGAACTTGTGTTGGACATTATGGAGAACCACTGGTGAGACAACACTGACCTGTAGTGACAGGCAACTGATGGCGAAGCACACTTGGGCCATCGTCTGGAGAAAAAGTCAATATATAGTCCCTGTACAACCCTGACATCTCGTTGCTTTGATTCGGTCTCGTTTTGCTTGGATACCGACTGTATCGCAAATCGTGGCTTGACAACCGACCTGAAGCTCCTGCGTTTCAGAATCTTGTCCTGCTTCCATATTTGCCTCAGCCCTTAACCAGCCCAGGCAACAGAGGTGACATGTACTTCGGTTTTCATCCATCCTATGCTTCTTTCCGTTGAGGCAAAGACATCACCAAGTCCTGGATCGATGACTCGGAGAGGGTCCAGATGAAAAACCGTCACAAATAGTTCGGGAAGGTTCCCTCAAACTCAGACAAACCGGACAGCTCAAGGGATCAGTTTTGGCTGAAACAGTGCTTGGAGAGGGAGGAAGCTTGCAACAGCTGCATTCGATTGCGGTGATGTGTGGAGCTGTGTGGTGTGTTTGGTCCAGGACTTGGCCAAAGGCTTCAAGCTGAGCTTCCACTTTGTTGAGAACCCCTACTTTACTAACACAGAGCTTTGCAAGGAGAATTTGGAACCTGAGTCACATGATTTGTAGACCAACTGTTCTTGACAACCGTCTTCTTACTTTCTGCAGCCGGCGTTGCGGTATGGTGACGGTGATTGTGAGGAGTACCACGTGACTGAAGTCTCCCCGTACACTGGTGAAGTGTCCGCGAAAGAGATTAAGGCGGACAGGGGTAAAATGTGGCAAGCCTCCCTTTGTTGATGCTGATGCATGTGTTTGTGCTTGCGAGGCCACCACCATTGAGTGGAAACCTGGGAAAGATGTCACAGTGGAGAAGGCTTGGACCTAGCTGTAGATGAATTCCTGGAGTTACATACTCTATTTTTTTTTAAACGCATGTTTTAAGGACTGGGGGCAAAGGGCTTCTCTTACCATCATCCTTTTGTGTTGCAGGTGACAAAAAAGGTGAAAGGAGGAGGCCACGAGCTAACCAGACGTGATGTTGGTTGACATGTGACATCACTTTCAGGTGCCAAGAAGGCAAAGCAGAAGGGCAAGGCCATTGGTTTCGTGTTATATAGCGGCTGCGCTGTTGATATATCCCTGGTTGCTGGATGCTTGGGCCAAACACATGGTTGGCGCAGGAGAAAGAAGAGCCACGAGACTCGTTCTTCCGAGGTTTCTTCCGAGTGTTCCTCAGTTTCCACATTGTTTAGAATCTTCAAGGCCTGTCTTTGTTTGGATAGTGTGTTGAGAAATGGTAAGGCAATCTGAAGGAGGGCGGAGCCATTCCAGAGGTGCGATTGCAAAAGCTGCAGCTTATGGTTTGGGCATGCTTGTTGTACCTTTGGTCGTCAGGATATCAATCTAGAAGAAGCCAGGGAGTTGGTAGACGAGGCCCAGATCTGTGGGACCGGAAACATGTTGGAGACCGCGTTCTAATTGACCTTCTCTTCCTTTAACCTTTTCTTCTTTGTTAGCTGTTATTGGGGTGGGGGGGAGGGTCAAAAAAGCAGTGAAAAAGGGGGTCTGGTGATGCGAGTGATGCAATGGACGCCGAGTAGTGCATCATTAACATCATGACGGGCTTTACTATTTGGACAATGGGCATTGAGCAACCGAGTGGAGACAGGGACCCACGTACAGAGCAGACCGCAGCCGCATGTAGGATACGAGTTCCCAGGACAACCCGTAACTCGCGAACTCCATAGAGAAGCGAAAGTGACATGAGTTCAAGTCACAAGTCCATGAATTTGGATTGAGCTTCGGTGGGGATGCCTGCGAGGTTGACTCGCATAGGGCTCCTGCCCCCTAGCAAAAACTATACTTGCACCATGTCCTCGGTCGAGTGGATGCTTCTCGCGGCGTCCACACGCACCGAACGTTTTTCCGGCTTGCCGGTGCAGATAGATAGGTAAATTCTATATGCTACTGACTCATGACGTCGCCTTTTTGCTGGCAGTCCTGGCCGAATCCAGTCAGCCTGGGCCCACGGCCCAAAGATCTACACACGCAGGTGCCAAAGTCAAGGCCTCTGAGTGAGAAAGGCGCAGAGTTGATAAGAAAGAGAAGAATAAAGAATGTGTTTGGATCGTTTAACAAAGGCCCCTTTAAAGGAAAAAGATTGTGTTTTGGATCGAGCCAGAACATGACTCACTCAAGTCCAGGCATGTGCATCGATAGGCACACAAATCCTCATTCCTTTGCTAGGTCAAGCTACTCGCGCTGGACCTCCCCTTCTGCGCCGCTGGATCAAACGTCCATGTCCTGGCTTAGACGTGCCCGTTCACTCTTCCAAACAAAAAATGCCGCTTTCGACGCGCCGCACTATGCATTGCAAACTTCAAACACTCCAAATGTAACGAACACATACGTCATTGCTTCTTTTCAAACGCATGCCGTACTCGGCGCGGCGATGCTGACTATGAAGAAGGTTTTCCTGCGCGCGCGGGGCAAGCGCGCGCACGCACGTGGTATCCCACCACTCGAACTCAGACAGTACTTCCTTTCGCTAACGCTGATGTCGCCTTCCAACTTCCATAAGATGCATACCTTCTTGCATGTGACAAACACATGCCATTGCCTTGTGATAATGACCTACACCAACATACAACGTATCGCACTTCTCTTTCACTACTTCTTTCATACCAAACTTATCCCAAAGCCGCCCGGCTTGCTTCTCTGCTCCCTCCAACACCATTACATACCCCCCCCGCATCCGCGGCACCGCTGACTCGCAAGCTGCCGACCATGTGTCTTGTGCCGCGACGCCCGCCAGAAAAAGAGACACTCGTCTGGCGGCTGCTGGCTTTCGACCCCCCTTCTCAAGTATATATATATATATAGACATCTTTCTTCTTTGCAACCTCTTTTTACTCTAGGCATGTTCTTTCCTTTAGACCCTTTTCTATTACAGTAGACCTTTTTAGGCTCAGGGTTTTGGAATGTGATATTGGGACTGGAAAAATGCAGGAGTTCCCGCACCAACCATAGTGCCAACTTTGGGCGGAGACATCCCAGTTTGGGATCGACCATCCTCAATTGCAAGTTGTGTTTTCATGTGTTTTCCAGTCTTCTGGAATACTCATGTCTGGTGGAATCTTCACTTGAACTCGCATAAACATGCTAACCTCAATCGGTTTTGGGTGTGGATATGACTGGCACCCGACAGCTCATTTTGCTTGGGCGGGCCCTTGTCTTCACAGGACGATGATGACGATGAGCACATGTTGGAGCTCCTCATGGATCCTCGGCTCAGCAGTCTCAAACCCACAATCTCAGGGTCCTGGAGAACATGTGCTGAAGCACTGGCATGAAGCAATCGAAACCCGGTGAACTTGGACATCATATTCGTTGATCGCGGAAATAGACATGGTTTTGTCATAGTTCATTTAAAAGGCTGCTACTCTGCATCCAAGAGCTTTCAATCTAGGAAAATGACTACGAGATTGGCTGCTGCGCATAGTCCTCAGAGTCTTCAGAATGAGAGTTCCGGAGGAAGTTGAACACGTGAGGAAGATTCTACACATGCCAGCTTTTCAAGGTTGTGCATATTTGCCAATGGTCGCAGTTCCTTGAGTTTCGCAACTTTGTTCTATGAAGCGTTTTTCTGCTTCATCCAGCCTGAGCAATCCATTTCCACCCATTTCCTAACAGGTGCGGGACCAGCTGATCCCATACGCTGTGCGCTTCTTCACAGGGGAGGCGTCTCCCGAGGAGTTCGGGGGTTTAACGAGAGATGAGCAAAGATGTTCAGCCCCTGTGTGTTGGAATGTTGGAAGGTGCAGGGCAGAGTCCTTTGGATCCAGTTTAGAAGAGAAGAGTACACAACAGAATCGACTGCCATCAACTAGATTGCACTTGCATAGATCTTGTGCTTCTGTGTGCCTGTGATGTGCTTCGTGGATTTGGCTGACGTCAGATTAAGGCTAGAGCGCGAATCCGAAGGGTGTTGTTGTGGTTTGCATTCAGTCTGTTTGACCTCACGATGGCATTGACCCTCTTGCTTTGCACCAAAGTGCTGGCAAGACCAGTGACAAGGAATGTCCCTTGTTAATTAAGGAGCAGCTTGGACTCCTCGAGGCACAGAAAGGAGTTCCATTGGCATTTGGGCTTGGGAAGTTACTGGAGTTGAACAACACCGATAGCGACTCCAACAAACAACAAAGCCTTCAAGGATTGTGGTCACGAAGGCCATTGAAGAACTTGAAGCGCTTGAGAAGCAAAGATGTGAAGCCTCAGGAGTTTGAGCACAAGCTCGAAAAGATTGCTGTGCAGCGCGCTCGTTAATTGTGGGAATCTGACCTCGTGAAGGCTGGTCCCAGGAACACCTCCAACAAGCTCTCCTGTGAGAGCCATGCGCGGAGTCCTCTCTCAGCAATTCCCTCAGAGCTGCCTTCCAGCCAACAGCAGCAACCAGCAACAGCCTTGCTTTCAGTGCTTTGCTTGTGACCAACAGCCGACTTTCATCTTCAACGCGCGTTGAATTTCGGCCAACCTTCATGTTTCAAGCCAGCTGAAGCAGAGATCTTCGGCTTTGTTTTTGTCCATCCGGGGGGGAGAGGCCGACTATTTTTTGGAAGCGCACATTAGCACAACACACCCCAAAGCAAATGTAAGCATAACTGGCAAAACTTTGCCATGTAAGCATAACTGGCAAAACTTTGCCACTTGCATCAACATTATGAAGGGATTGTGGTGCGCTGCTGCATTTTGAACACTCCTGCGGCACCTGCCATTTTGCCATCGCCAGGACCATGACTATGACGACGATGATGAGGTGCATTCAGATTCAAGATCCAACATGTTCACATTACATGATTTTTGCAGGGCCGGCGTTAAGATTTCAATGTTTTTGGAATGTGCAACAGCGAAAAGTTCCAGTTGGCAGCCGTATTTCTAACTATGATTCTGTGTGTTCACTTGATCTTGATTGGGTTGTTTTGAGTATTATACATACCAATTGCTGGCCGTTCAGAGATGCTTTGTCATACCAAGCCAGCAACAAGTCCAATGTCAATTTTCAGCCTGCTAGTACTTGGCCTTCAACACGGCCAGGAGGACGAAGAAGAGGATGATGATGATGATGACGATGATGATGAGGAGGAGGATGACGACGACGAACCTCCAAAACATCAGAAGTACAAGCCCCCAGCCAGAGGGAAGGCGGGCCCTGCACTGGTAAACAGCCGGGAAACCGTGGTGATTTTGTCGGCAACTTTACACCTCAGTTTGTTTGATCGTTTAGCAATTCGTCTCTGAATTTCCGGACTGACCCAGGGCAAGAAGGATGGCCCTGATGGCGAGATAAAGGAAGAATGCAAGCAGCAATAGGCCACAGCAGTTTTCTTTCATCGTTTGTATTTTGTTGGTTGCATTGCTTGGAGGTCTTTGGAGCTGCTTGCATTCATGTACCGAAGAAGTAACGTGTGTTTGTATCCGTTCTGCAGATCTTGGCCACAGATTTAGCGTATCTGTGGGGCAATAGAACAGGGCTGGGGGCAGCAGGCATCCTCCAATTACACACGTGGACACATCAGCCGTTCGAAGTGCCAGCTCTTCAGGCTGCAAATCCTGTGAAGTGATGGGTTTGGAGTTGCCAAACTGAGTTGCCTTTCGCAGTTGGATTCCAAGGGATGTGCATCCCCGAAATGTAAACGCTCCTGAAGGGGAGAGGAGCTGTAAGGAATTGACTGCCAAAGCTGTGGTATGCGAATCCAATGGCCCGGCAACCGATTGTTTTGCAGATGAAGGCAAGTCAGCAGGCACCCATAGCATCAAGGATTGTCAGCTAAGGTTCTGGTCAATGCGTTGACCATGAGAGAACCTGAGAAATTCTTGGTGCACACAGGGTCTGTGACACAAGGGCTTGGATTCTTGGATAGCTTATGGGCAAGCACTCACCTGGCTACCAAATCACCTGCGGCGACACAAAAACCATTGATGTTAAGAAGGTGGATACCTTGTGCCAACCATCTCGTACACTCTCCTGATTACTCAAACAGCTGCATCACCAATACTCTTGCCAACAAAGCAGTCCATAGAAAATCGATCGGCTTACATCCCATAAATATGTTTACAACATTTTACAACTCTATCGAAACATGGTTGTGTCATGAATATTTGATGATATTTGATACCCATTCTTTGCTTGTTCTTTTTGCTTGTTTGACCGACTTTTCCTGGGTGCATCCACTGGCCTGCCATGCCAATTGCACAGCGAGGCCCAGCTGATTTAGTCACAAAAAGAACAGGACTTTGTAGCAGTGAATCCATGTTGACGACTGGTCCCGAAGCTTGGCTTCCACACCGGGGTCGCAAGACGTCTCGTTTGCGGAAATGTACCTCGGGGGATCGAAAGCTGGCCAGCGGATTCAATCGAGAATTGGCAGATGTTGCGTGTGAGAAATAGCGATGCCCTTTGCTCCTAGTAGCTTCTTGCTCCTAGTAGTAACAGGCCAGGAGCCCCTAGTATCGTCTTTGCTCCTAGTAGCGATGCCCTTTGCTCCTAGTAGCGAGAAATATATATATATATATATGAGAATGCAGACACAATGCGAAATCACAATGCCTCGACCTAAAATGTACACATTCCGAGCATAGTTCCCCGCGGGAATTCCCCTGTGCCGCTTGTCCATAGAGCTCTCAGCTAGCCTGCACAGTGTGGAAAAGTCCGCCAGTCCGTGTGAACCAAGAAGTATAACAAAGTAAACGATCATTTTGGATGGGGCGTTGGAATGCTTGGCTTTTGTATGCTTTTGTGGCGTCACGTATCTTCCTCCAACAAAACATACTTTTGAGTGGGTGATGAGAGTGATTGAGTACCAGGTCCAGCAGTATGAGGCCAGAAGACACCGCAACATGATCATGGAGCGGTGTGGATTTTCAGATGAGTGCTTCTTGCTTTGTGGTTTATTTGTCGCTGTCTGCCGAATTCTACCCTGCAAACTCCTTGAGGAGTCTGCTCTTTGCAATAGAAGCAAGGCGAGGATACTTCATAATTGTTTGGTCTTTGCATGTCTTTGCCATCCAAGTCCCATATAGGAGCAAGAAGCTACTAGGAGCAAAGGGCATCGCTTCTAGGAGCAAGGACGCTACTAGTAGCTCCTGGCCATACTGCTAAGAACAAGAAGCTACTGGGAGCAAAGGAGGAAGGACGCTACTAGCAACTCCTGGCCTTTCTACTAGGAGCAAGGACGCTACTAATTAGTAGCTCCTGGCCTTACTACCAGGAACAAGAAGCTACTAGGAGCAAGGCCGCTACTCGTAGCTCCTGGCCCTACTACTAGGAACAAAAAGCTACTAGGAGCAAAGGGCATCCCTACTAGGAGCAAGGACACTACTAGTATCTCCTGGCCTTGCTACTAGAAACAAGAAGCTACTAGGAGGGCATCGCTACTAGGAGCAAGGACGCTAGTAGCTCCTGGCCTTACTACTAGGAAGAAGAAGCTGGAGCAAGGACGCTACTAGTAGCTCTTGGCCTTACTACTAGGAACAAGAAGCTACTCGAAGCAAAGGGCATCGCTATTAGGAGCAAGAACAAGAAGCTACGAGGAGCAAAGGGCATCGCTACTAGGAGCAAGGACGCTGCTAGTAGCTCCTGGCCTTTCTACTAGAAACAAGAAGATACTAGGAGCAAAGGGCATCGCTACTAGGAGCAAGAATGCAACTAGTAGCTCCTGGCCATAATGCTAAGAACAAGAAGCTAGTAGGAGCAAAGGGCGTCGCGACTAGGAGGAAGGACGCTACTAGTAGCTCCTGGCCAAACTACTAGGAACAAGAAGCTAGTAGGAGCAAAGGGCATCGTTACTAGGAGCAAGGATGCTACTAGTAGCTCCTGGCCATAATGCTAAGAACAAGAAGCTAGTAGGAAAAAA